GGGGGGGGGGGGGGGGGGGGTGATCTTCGTTGATAAAAACTGGGTCGAAACACGCGACACGCGACTCGACGGCCTGCGCGCGATAGCCCTTAGTGGCGAACAATCGAGAATGTAGGTCTGACCGAGCACTTAGCGGGTAATTGAGCAATTTTCACCAAGACGGGAGTCGGAACGAGACAGCGGGAGAAAGAGAGGCGTCGAAGGAGGGAACGAATCTCCCGGGTTCCTTACATAGCTCGCCCGAGTCTAAAGACGGTCGACGAGGCGGTCTCGTCTTCTATGTGCCTGTACCACCCTTCCCACCCTCTCCTTCGTCGATACCTCCTTCTTGCTTGCTGCCAAGGAGACGTCTATGTAACTCGGTTAGCCCTTCCTACCGAACGAAGCCATCTTGTCTACCGAGACGAGTAACTTGGCGTTGCAGACGAATGCAATACCGGACCAAACCATTTAAATCACTCGAAATGTTGCGTCGTCTCGCGAAACGACGCTGTACGACAGCTACCTCGAGTTACTTGCCAGCATCTGTTCAAAGGAAAGGCTTTTAAACTAAGAGATGTATACAATAACAAAATCGTCGATGTGCGTATGTGTGTCTTGACGTTTCAATTTTAATATTTCGAATGAGATTCATCATATTATTCGCGCGTTGTTATAACCCTGCTGATCAAAGAGCGCCAAATGACTTTCTTTTTATTCTTTCAAAAGTCACAATTTGCGAATATCTAGGTGCGACACTTCTGATAGAAATTTAATACTGGTTTTCGATCAGTTACTGGACAGTTGTGTCAACTTTGGTCCAGCAACTAAAGAGTAAAACTACTTGGGATCATCAATCAAGATGTAATGCTTTTTTTGCAGTTACTGCGTACAAAAGATGCGCAATATATGATGAGACCATTTACTGAACGAAAACAGAATCGAAAATGAAAAAAAAACTATTCAATTGATTAGTAATAAAAAGTCTGCTGTTTACAAAAGACAGTTTACAAAGATAGATTTGCTTTAACGGTATTTTATTTTTTGTGCAAGCTTTCTGATTGAAAAATTGTAATTCTAATGAAAGTCGTAACGCAGGAAATATTTCATGTCAGTCAGCGTGATATTTGTCCAAAAAAGGTCTGCCACCTGTACATACCGAAAGTGTGGATGCTCCAGACAGAAAAATTTTGAAGAACATTGCTGCACCTTCGCATCTGAATTCAAAAGTTTAAGAACATCGGAAATGTTTGCAGAAAGATTTCCACACATGTGCGTGGTTAGATTTTCTATTGCAAATTGTATGATAAAACAAAGCAACATACATTTACGTAAATTCTGTATACACAAGAAATATGAAAAGAATAACGTGATTAGTGACAATCGTCTCTGCGTTATCGACATTTTTCAGGTTCGTTATCAACTTTAATATCGAATATAAATACAAATATTTCCACTAAGAACGTTCACAAGCGGAAAATGTCAAAACCAACGTGAGATCCGGCGCTAATAATCGGCGCGCAAAGTGAAAAGTAATTTTGTTCGAAACGATCGACTATTACCGCGTTGGTCGTTCGACCAATCGCCTCGCGCGCGCTCGAACCCGCGAGTTTGTAATGCAACATGTAGCGTGATATGTTGCCCGGCGAGCGATTGTGGTGATATCTACGACGGAATGCGACCATTATGCTGGCAGATACTATTAATGATTATAGTTCCTCGCAACGCAACCACGTTTACGGTCTGGCTAGTTAAGCCGAACTTGCGTAATTTATTGTCAGCGGTATTTTGGTTGCATTATACAGATATCGTCCATTAGCGTGACAACGGGGAAGTATTTAACGACAACCGACGTTATAACGCGCCGTCCCGCGCCTCTCCGCGCTCCGTGTTCTAGGCAGATTAACCGATAACTATGGCCGATTAATCCCCGACTGCCGCGTCGTCCTATAGACTTGCGGTGTGCGCAGTTTATTTCGCATAAACGTATTTAACATATCGACGTTTCGTTGCGCGCGCGCGCGTTTCCCTGCATAATTGTGCCTTTCGTCATCAACCCTCGATTAGTCGCGCTATTTCGGAGATCGTGCATTTTGCGCAACGCGCTCAAACTCGGCGTAAAAGTGACGTACGCGCATAAAAACGTTTCTCTCTCTCTCTTTCTCGCCCTCCCTCCCTCCCTCCCTTCCTCCCTCTCATCGACCCCCGCTCTGTCCCTCTATCTTTTTTCTTTTTTTTTTTATCGTAGTAGCACAGCCATTCATAAATTATCGCTTATCTAGGACATAGTGTCATTAATCCAAGTTAATGAACTCGCGGTGCGGGAATACTGCTCGCAGCTGTTTATCGAAAAGTCGATACGCGTATTTAGCGGTAATTGCACGTTGCGGGGACCAGTCGATGCAAAATTCCGTAGATACCGTGATCGCGATGTCGCGCGTGCATATTATCCGGCACGGTGCGCCGGCAAATTTTAAGCATTATCGGAACATTTAATAACGCTGTAACCCTCGTTAGGAACGTTCCAAATCCATCTCTCGCGCTCGAAATTCTGCTCTCGCAGCGCTACATGAAAACGACGCTATTTAACACTGCTGCCGCTGATCACGTTGAATATCGGAGTGATTTGCATTTTCATCCTCTGTCTGAACACGCATCGACGAAATATCTTTATTCAGTTACGACTGTTATAAATCACGAGAGAGAAAGAGAAAAAGAGGAAAGAAACGACTTACCAGCCGGCGATGTAACGGAGATCGATTGCTGGCCCGAATTGGTGTTGCCGCTGGTGCTCGTGTTCAGTTTCCTCAGTTGCTTCTTATGCTTCATTCGTCGATTTTGGAACCACGTTTTCACTTGCGTCTCTGACAGATGCAACGCGGCCGCAAGCTCCACTCTCTCGGGGGTGCTCAGGTATCTCTGTACCTCGAACCTGGCCTCCAGCCCCGCCAGTTGCTGATCGCTGAACACCTAAAATTTTCAGGAAGCAGACTTTCGTCTCCCGTCAACCGACACAGAGAAATACGCGAGCACGAACGTGTGTGCGTGAGTTAATTCCTTGCAACAATATTGGTTAACATACAGGCGGTTGCACAGTCAGAAATAATCAATTCATTTCAGTTAATTAATTCGGGATTAAAGAGTCGCTTTAGTGAGCGACACACAGCCATGCAAAACGTTTTTCAAAGGTTCATGCTGCAAATATCTCCGGATAATTTAGAGAGAGAGAGAGAGAGAGAGAGAGAGAGAGAGAGAGAGATCCTCCTTCCATTATCCTTTCATTAAATTTAAATTACGCATTGTCGACGCGGCTTTTAAACCATCATCATTTGTATTCGCTCTGTGTCGATTCACAAAATAAGCTTTTACATATCGTGCAAGTTGACAACTTCGGTGATTCGATCGTATGTTCGATGTACGCGATACTTTGGTCAGTAGAATTTGTGAATCCGATTGGTGTATGCTCTTAGACGGCCGAATCTGAGAGAGCGTGTACCGATCAGATTGATGAATTTTACAACAGTTGCAAAGCAGCTTTCTTTGGTGAACGTAGCTTTTGCTACGGCTAACGGACCACATGGTCAAACTGGAATCTATTCGATAAAATTGGAGTCATGATATACTCGAATATTAAATACTGAGAAAAAAAGAGCAGAACCACGAGCGGAAAAGGCTGAATTTGAATTTCGGGGGATCCTATAAGTCACGTAGAATGGGACGAGTTGTCGCATTGTCATGTAAGAGAATCTGCTTACGGTTCGAGCTTTTCGTCGTCGGCAATGCTTCAAGGCTGCCAGCTCGCCAACTCCCGGTACCACACCGACTCCCATGCCAGTGCTGCCGAAGAGCGGACCTAAGAAGAAGGCCGCCGCGGCGGGCGGCGCCGTAGGATAGCCGGGTAGCAGACTGGCGAACTGCTGATACTGATGATGCTGTCCGTGGCCGGGAGTGGTGGACGTCAGGTGCTGATGATGCAGCTGATGGTGATGGGAGTGAGGAGTCACGGTGCCACGACTAAGGATATCCTCGATAAGGAACGACGTCCTGCTGGCGGAGGTACCGTTCTGACCTGGCTGAGCTTGTTGCTGTTGGCAGGTGGACTGCATCTTTTTCTCGCTCGACGCGACGCTGCGAGACGTTTACGCGAGACATCCGACGCGGATGTCCGACGGTGGTTACATCCTCGCCTTGGCGGAGTCGCGAGGTCTCGGAGAACGATTAGTCGAGCGATTCCGCGGCAGTTTCCTCGTCCTCGACAGCTCGATTAACGAGGACTTTTATTTTGCACCAGCGCGAGCTGAGGAGAATCTCTTCCTCCCGCGAGTAGCAGAGCGACTTCCTGCGAGTCTCTCTGCCGCACTAATCTTCCTTCTTCACATTTGCGACATGATAGTTCTCGATGTGGATTCGGCCGACGCGGATGACGTGATAAATCGCGGATCGTCCATCAGCGAGGGTTCAGTGAATCAAACTCGCGCTCATCGGAGGAAAGACGCGAAGGGGGTCGTGTGTCACTCTCAAGAAGCGGGTCACTCTGTTCTCGTAACGCGTTTAACGCGAAGCAAAGTGTCGTCAACACCTTCTCGCTGTGGTCGAGGCTAAGGGTGTACGGGGCGACGTTTATCCGCACGAGCGACGAAATCGAATTGATCGGCGCGGATCGCGCGGCGTTTGATGGACGTAAGTCGCGAGGACACGGCGGCGGCGTCGGCGGCGGCGGCGCTTCGTCGTCGTCGTCGTCGTCGTCGTCGTCGTCGTCGTCGTCGTTGTCGTCGTCGTCGTCGTTCACCGTCGTTCACCGACGTTTTAGGGAGTATCGGTGCGCGCGATTCAGGACGATTCAACCCCCGTGCGCGCGATCATCGGCGGCAGCCCCTCCCTACCCGCCGTAGCCGGCGGTACCCCGTCGTAGAAGGGTAGCGAAGCTTGCACACCAACTATCCGAGGCCGGTCTGGCGTCCGCATTGGCCGGCGTCGCGACGCTCGCCGTCGCTTGGGTTGGCTCCGCGTTGGTCCCTGGGCGGGTCCTCGTCATTCGTTTCCATGGACACGCGCTCGGGTATTCATGTGTCCTCCGGTACGTACCGCACCGAGAGGACGGGGAACGGTGTGGCGGAGGCGACGCCGGCGGCGGCGGCGGCGGCGGCGGCGGCGGCAGCGACGGTGGTGACGGTAGCGACGGCGACGGTGGAAGAGGGATGGATCTTTCTGTATCTGCGATTCTCTCCGTTCTGCCGCGCTCTCGCACGTAGGATAATAATGCTACGGCTATGTGCGTGTATGTGTGTGTGTGCGCGCGCGACGCGCGCACAAAGAGTATGTCCCGAAAAGCCTTACTCTCTCCGGTATAGTCATCCGCGTTACCACCGCGACGTGTTCGCGACGCGTTTGCCCGGCCGCGAAAGCGTATGGTACTCCTCTCCACTTAAGAGCGACTCGGTGCGTTTCTCCCGCGCGGATAACGTCCCTTCATTTCCACGGTGGCGTCGTTATCCTGGACAGTAACGGCGCGGACGGTGGGAAAACAACCCGATGAACAACCCGCTTCACGATCCGTTCCCTCATTCGGCTCACCTCGCGTCTCGTATCCGGAGTTATACATCGTCGAACGCGGTGGAGTTCTCCGCATGGTCGATACACCGTTTCACGCCGAGCCGCGTCGGTATTGAATCTTCGAAGGGAGGACGAGCAGAAACGCGAGATTAATTTACTTATCGGATCGTGTACACGGCTTGTGCGCTTGCCAAATGGCGGTACACGCGTGTAACGCACCTAAACCATCCACGCTATAGTCCATAGACGATAGACAGAGCAACCGGTTCTAATTGAGGAGCGCACCACGCGCCAAACGTGTTCTATCAAATCACCGTCTCACGCGGATATCACGCTTCCTCTATCCCGCGCAAATAGCACGATCGTACAATTGAGATAGATATAAGAAAAAAGAAACAAAAAAAAGAAGAGAGCAAAACACCTAAAGAGGAAGAAGAACGGTTGAACGATAGCGCGGTCGCGTTAATCTCGACGGCTTTTCGAGTCACCGACAATGTCAGAGATGTCTGTATAGAGCGACGGCCGGCTATGATTAGGGTCGAGGGACGCGTGCCGACATTTAGACGGGGTTGCTTCTGCGATTATTGAGTAAATTAACGTCGCGGTAATTGCGTTACCGGCGCGTGTCCATCCGTCCGTCCGCCTGCGTCGCGTCGCGTCGCGTCGCGTCGCGTCGCGTCACCTCGCCTCGCCTCGCCGCGCCTCGCCTCGCTCCCTCGACGCATTTACTAGCGGCACAGAACCACCCTCCGGCTCGCTTGTAAAGCCGAAAATCCATCGGCCGGGGTTTCGACGCGCTCAAAAACGTCCTACGATGGCTTCGGCGATGAATCCTCCTGGGACTCGTTAGGCGAGAGGGCAAGCGAGCATATTCATTTTCGAGTTCTTTATTATAGAACCGTAATACGTCGTGTATGTGCGCTACGTGACACGCGATGCACTATCTGTTCCGTTAATGCTCATTAGAATAAAAAATACACGGTGACTTGCGATATCTTAATCCTTTGCGACTCGACGTCGCGTTTCGTTCCAGCCGACTCTTTAAGCCACCTCTTGTACACGGAAGAAGAAGAATGATTAAATGTGTCGAAATAATTAAATATGGCATAGCTTCTCTTTCTGGCTTCAAGAATAAATTCTTGGTTGCGCTGACTTATTCGATTTGTTGCTTCAAAAACGCATTTTTTCATGCAACAAATTGCAACGCTAATCTATGATATCGTGTAGGTCCGCATAACTAAGAATTGGTTATTGAAATTGGAAATAAAAACTATGACATCTCAAACAATACAAGATCTCCAAAAGGTGACCTGAGGACGTTCTCAGAACGTAGACATGAGACAGGTGAGTCAATCCCACGTCAAACTGATATCCTTTGAATTTCAGTTATTATTATTTAATTAATTCCCCCATTTAAAACTCCCGATTGTGCGTTTCTTTCCGATTCTTTCGGCCAACTCTAAATAGAACTCAAAACGAAATGCGCAACTAAAAATTTTAAAAGGGAGAATTAATTAAATAATAATAATTGAGATTCAGAAGGGCCAATTCACCGTGTACGTCGTAAGACCGGAAAAATACTCGCGGCGCGTGCGTTCAACAAATATTATTATCCTCCCTTATCAGATTTATTCGCACTAACATCCAGCGCACGGCTCTTATAAGTCTTATCTTCATTTTGTGCGCATTGACGCTTGATATAAATACTGCGCATTGTTGCGTTGTTTCAACAACGCGATGTTGTCCGGATCAAGTTTGCACCGGTCGGCTGGAAAGAAACGCCAAAGACAATTCGAGCCGCAAAAAGTTAGAAATATAGAAATAGGCAAAAAGAGTATGTACACTCGAAGCATTAGACTAGATTGATTCGATGCTTGACGCTAAATAGTTTCTTTTAGAATGACTACAAACTTCCTGATGTGATGAACGCGATATCAAGAAGCATGCGGGTCGATTACGTTAATAGTAATTAGATATCGTCGTCGTTAGACGCACGCTTGTAAAAGGCACGGGAGAAGCTGGCGGGTCCCTGCGGGCCGCAAAAGAAGAAGCCGCGTCGCCACAATACGAAGAACACCAAGCCGACCGGGATCGCGATGAGCAGGCCGATCAGGATACCCACGAGTATCGCGGCATCTCTCTCCGGCCGCGCGTCGTACAAATCGAGGCAGCGTAGATGCCACTTTGCCAAGGACGTGAGCTTCTTGTCCTTGTGTTCTGGCGGCGCGGAACAGGTGAGCTCACCGACCTCGTCTCCCATCAGTTGCTTGCCGTATTCCGGCAGCAAAATGCCGATCTACGGGAGAACGTATTGTTACTTGTATTGTAGTCGACAACTCGGATGTGCGGCTCGAGAACTTTTACGTTATAAACGACAAGAATCTCTCTTGCCGATTGTGCATTCGCGTGATCGCGCGAGTGCGCACGCGTCTCGTGTGATTGCCGCAACTTACCAGAAATTGATTATTGCAATCGCAGCTCCATTCGTTGTTCATCAGATCCAATTCTTCGAGCTGGTCCCATCTGCCTACGAGCATGGCTGGCAAATATCGGAGAGCGTTATCCGATATATCCAGCTTCTTTAACGGTGGCCACATCTCGCCCTCGGACGTCTGCGAATCGTAGTAATTTACGTGATGTGATTCTTTCGATTACGTATCGAGAGCTGACTCTATTAATGCTCGACCTCGATGTACCTTGTATAACATTGCATAATCGTTGATCTTCTTCAATTTTGGGCAGTTTTGCACGTAGAGACTTTCCAAGTTGATCAATCCCGACAATCCACCGTTCCCGATCGTCGTTAGACTCTGCATATAGCACATACTGACTTCCTTCAATTGCGTCAAGTTTGGAAAAGTGTTCGTGCGATCGATAACCTTTATCGGATTGTTATCCAGACGGAGATATTCCAATGCCACAGCGTTTCCCAAAGGTGCGGGCATATGAATGAATTGATTACCGGCCAGGTTCAATTTCTTTAAATATCTGAATAAGCAAAATATATACACGGTTAAGTGAGACAGTTTTACGCACACCTTATACACTGAGAGAAAAATTATCTTAAAATCAACAAATATTTCTTTGATGGGTGCCATTAACATATTTATTTAAATCTAAATTCTCTTTATTTAAACCAAATATTATTTACTTAAATCAGGTAAACAATATTTGATTTAAATAAAAAAAATTTAGATTTAAGATAAATCAAAAGATTTAGATTTAAATAAATATGTTAATGGCACCCATCAAAGAAATATTTGTTGATTTTAAGGTAATTTTTCCCTCAGTGTAGTTGCTCGTGTGTCGAAAATCGAAGGGAATTGTAATCTTTAGTTGTGCTCTCGGTTTCTTACTTGGCGTTATGAAACTGAAGAGTAGGAAGTGTCTTCAATCTACAATAACTAATGTCCAATTCCTCCAAATACGATAAGCTACTGATCGCTATAGAGGTACGATAGTCGAACATACTGAAAGGGTTCTCAGAAAGATTCAACACCTTCACGCCAACAAGATGTTCAAATAGACTCTGATGCAGCGATTTGAGTAAATTACCAGCCAGATTCAAAATTTTCAAGTCCGACAAAGGCTCGTACGCTTCAGGCGAAAACTTGCCCTGAGAGAAAAACGTTCGAAAATATTAATTTCCCTTGCAAGAGATAGCAGATAGATAGATAGATAAATAAATAAAATAGATAGATAAATAAAATAAATAAATGAAAGTGCTAGAGAGAGAGAGAGAGAGAGGAAGGGAGAGAGATAGTGTGATTTATTGGACGCTGGAATAAGTTAAATGCGAGAAAAAGAAAAAAAGATTATACGATTTTTCTCTCTAAAATTTGTCGAGAAATAATAATCAATAAACAAGCCATTTTATAACTATTAGAATAAACAAATAAGCCGACCGATTTATCCTTAAGAGAGATAAAAATATTTGTAATAGATAACGATTCTACTATTATCTAGAGCTTTGATCAGTTCTGTACCTATTGATTTTATAGAAGGGTACCGCGCAATTGTACTAGAAGAAATTCGCGAACGTCTTGGTCCACAGCAAAAAAAATGAGACCAGACGGAGAAAGTTGTTCTTCCTAGAAGGCGATTCGTCGTTTTATCTTTTTCAATTGTCAAGATCAGACGAAGAGTAGAACAATTTCATCGTCACAATTAATCACACATATTTGATTAGTAGGAATCACGATTAGTCACTGATTAAATAAACCGGAATAACGAAGTGTCGAAATTTCTTGGTGATCTCGATGATTCACAAGTCGGCGAAGATATCGCGTCTCTTTGCACGACCGCCGGCGGTATTACAAGTATTACAACTTACACGTGTCGCTTCGTTACCTCGAATACGTGCGGCTGCAGTAGGTCCGACGTGAGCTGATTGTGACTCAGGTCTAGCTCGGTGAGATTAACGAGCTCTTTGAAGGCGTGATAATCGATCTTGGCGATGTGATTTTTCCGCAGAATTAATCGCTCGACGACTATCCTCGGGAAAGCCGTGACGTGCACCAACTGATTGCCCTCGAACGAGACCTCCACCGCCTTTATGTCCGGCCATTGGCTGTCGTTGAAGTGAGTCTCCAGACCTCGATTGCTGCAGTTTATGTAGCGGCCTAAACAATTGTTTAAATCCCACTTTTTAACATGACAGACTTTCGACTCTCCCGTCACGTCACCGTAGCCGGGAAGAACTTGCCGCGTGACTTAGCACCTTAGCGAATATCGATTTGTCAAGCGTGTCGATTATTAAAATTCGCGGCACATCGAGTTTCCTCGATCGCGGTCGCGGACAACGATCTGTACTACCTGTACAATTGCACACGGTGCACAAACTCGGCAACGTTTGCGCCGCGTCGGTCGTCTTGTTTTCCGTTTCAATCGCGTTTGAATGTACTATGATATGATTCTGTGGTATAAATTCTCTGCTATCATTCTTGTGGCACCTTGCAAAAAGGAATATCGCGAGTAAAGGGACTAATACTCGGAGATCCATCCTGACTAATATGCGAAGATACGTCAACTGTGTAAGCTCTCTCGCGACGTTAACACGGTTTGATACGCGGCGATATCACCATGATTTTTTTCGTATATGATAACAAAGTATAGTGATAAGATTACGGCCCAGTTCGTCGCGATTACTCATCGCTCTCGAAGCAAGTGGATAAAGTACCGATCTCCTCTCGCCGATAATATCTAAAAACGATGCTTTAGCTCTCGTAACATCGGTCGGGGCTATTTAGTAACATTATTTAGTAACATCTCCCTATTATATATACATGTGTATATATATGTGTATATATTTATATATACATGTGTGCGTATGTAGATACAATCCGATACGTCAATCATATCGATAAGCGTGTGCACGTTTGTGAGCAGAAAAAAGTAATTTTTTGATTGATTTTGTGAACTCTTGTGTAATAGGAGCATTCCTTGGAAAACGAATTCTCCAATTAGAATCCTGAAAAATTGCAATGAAGAAGTTGGAGAATTAATTAAAATGTCAAAATTGAGAGTTATTACCAACGAGGACTCACGCACACAGTAATAATATAATTAAAAACACTAAAAAATATTAACAATATTAATAGTAATTCATAATGATAATTACTAGGCAAATTCGTCGATAATGATCTTCCATTTTGGCAACTTGGTGAGCTCTCAACTTTATTGTGTCTACGACCAACTGTAACACGAAAGTAACACAAGTAATCGTACAACGAATGTAAAGGGATTCGCCATGTTTAGTAAAACATGCGTTCCGTGGATGAAGTGTCATTGCGAGGACGTATAACGAAGTGAAGAATTTCAAAGTCGCCGCTCAGACGCGCCTATGCGCAATGGCGGCAGCAGCAGCGACGACGCGAAGGGAGAGTGCGATTCGGAGCGCGTCGCGACATCTGATAGACGCTGCGCGAACGAGCGGCAAACGCGCGCGCGCGAGAAAAGTGCACGCAGCGACACTTGACGGCGCTCCGCGATACCAGCAAGCGCCGCGCCGTCGCGCCACCGCCGCCACCGCGGCGGCGAGAACCTTCGCGAAAAGTATTGAATCGATGACGTCACAAAAGACGAGACAGTGGAAGGAGTAGACGGGGGCAGACGGTGTCGCGCGTTGAAAAATGTCCGATTACTTAAATTTATCGTCTACATGAACGAGTGGTAAACACAGAGTCGCGGATCGCGCTGGGACCGGCGTGGGGTGGACGAGAGTGTAGCCGGCGGTCTCGCGGCGACGATTCGACTTTTCTCGCGGGGCGGCGCGTTCCTAGACACGTGCGCGAGAAATACGGCCCGCTTCCGATGGTCGCTTTCGGCTATGACGGTTCGATCGTACCGAAAAGTCCTGACAAAATAAAACGAGTGGAACGGCTCCGTACTGTGCCGCGCGCCAAGGTGTCGCGCAGTGTTACAGGATCACGATAACCGGTAAGAGATCATGCCCATAGACAAAGTTAGTCGAGCTAACGAAGTCAGCGCGAGAGACACTCGAAATCTCGACGGGCCTCTCGCTCGCGCTCCACGTTCCGCTCGCTGCGGCAATTGAGGTTAGGTTCGCCGCCAATCTCGCTCGAAGCTGTGCGCCGCGAGAGAGTGAACGCCCATTTTTCTTGGACAACGGCCGCGGGTCGCGGCGCGAGCCTGCGGTCGCGTCCTCGTGAATTCGCGCGAGCAATGCCGCCGTTTCGTTGCTCGAGTTACGGCCGCGCGTTCCCCGGGTCAGCGTCGTCGCAGACACGGATGTTCGCCGCGACCCTGGAGATTGATTGACGACGATTATCTCACGATATTCGCGCTGATATTCTCGCTCGTCGTCTACGTCGCGCGGCACAGAGAGTCGCCGGGCCGGAGACTGGTCGGACTTTGAGTCGCGACGGATGCACGTCGAGAATCGGAGTGTACGTATTGCGAGAGAAAGAGAGAGAGAGAGCGAGAGCATCGCTGCCTAGTCCACTCGGCTTCTCTCTGTATCGTCCGTTCGCCGTCCGACATTTTTACGCGGAAAAGTCAGCCCGGCTCGACGAGCGTTCAAAATAGTCGGCCGCCTTTGCGAAGACATCGCGACCGATTTCGCAGGTGTATAACGAACAGGTGTCACGCGATGCGATAAGACGAGACGAGATGAGGAACGTCTCTCAGTCTACCGCTGAGCGATCAGCTGATAACATTTTAGCGTACGTTTTTATTCACGAGCACATTCCACTCCCGTGCATCGGCATTTCTTGCCCGGCCATCTCTCCTCGAAGAATAAACGTCGCGCTGCGGGTGCTGCGCGTCGTCTTTGAGCTTCTCTCGCGATGATCCTCTTCGTGGCGTGCAGTCATGCACGCGTGTATGTGTGCGTACGTGCGAGTTGTACATGTATAGGGTGGGAATCATTATCGACCTGTTATCGAACGTAGGATGACAGAAAGAAGCGAAAAGAGGAGGAAGAGGAGGAGAAGGAGGAGGAGGAGGAGGAGGAGGAGGCGCGGTCGGCATCGACAGACTCAACGGACGGGCGCGAGCACAACATCCATAGGGCGTGTTTTGGAGCGCGGTTTTTGTGCGCGGCAGCGAGCCGCGTATATAATCGCGCAGGTTGTAACACTTGGATGATCGACGGCTAGTAAACAGAGTGTCGGCGGACGGGTGCCTCTTTTTTCCCTGCGTATCTCAACGCGATAGACACGTGCTCGTAAGCGTGCGCCGCGCGATTAATAACAACTATTTCGAGCAAATAGCACGGACGTCACTCGTGTCTTCTTGTGCTTTTTGCTCCGGCGGCCTTTGCTCTCTCGCACGTTTCGATACATATAATTACTCCTATTGATAGGACGCATGATGTTCTCGTTCTCTCGGCGACGCAATTCTCGAACTTCAATGTTGGAACGTTCGAGCGGCAAAATTTTGGAATCTATTCTCAACTCTCTCTCTCTCTCTCTCTCTCTCTCTCTCTCTCTCTCTCTCTCTCGTTCTTATCGATCAAAGCGACTGCAAGTGTAATTGAAAGCCAATTGGGAGACTTAAGTATTAATTCTCGGACATTTCTATTGTTTTAGTCTTCAAACGAATATAAATATTTAAATTTTCAACATGGGAAATATGTGTATACATTCAAAAAATATATGTATGTATTTTTTTATATTATTGAAAGTTTAAATATTCGTGTTTGGAAATCGTCTATGAGATTAGGTACACATGTTCAGCCATTGGTACTTTTATGAGCTTCATTCAGAGACATTCTCACCGGTAAAGTTGAATTCAGAGCGAGGGCGTATCTAAGAGAGAATCTAATTGAGAGCGACGAAACGTCCGACGATTATGATCGCGCCATACATATATAATCCTATTAGGAATTCTTCTGGAAAAGGAGGAATGTCAATGTGTATTCTCGGTGATAATTCTCCTTCGTGTATCGCCACAAATTTCGCAAAGCTTCGAGAACTTTTGTTTGTTGCCGCATTCTCTCTCTCTCTCTCTGTTCATTCGACTTGAATATGCCACCCGAATATTTTACACGTTCCGAGCAATAAGCTCTAACGCAACGCAGCATCCTTATTTTTCTGGACTCGGAGAGAGCCTCTATTTATTATTCATGTCGAAAGGGAGATACGTTCGAAATCGATGGGAGCCCTAGCGCCGATAGCGCCGATACCGTCTAATGATGACATTTAAATGCGGTGCCGCATCGTTCGATTGTTGGCGCGACGCGACGCGACGCGCGACAGTAGTAGCTTTTTCTTTTCCCGGTTTCCTCATATTTCCTTCGTTTCATCGCTTCCTCCTCCTAGATTTCGCGGAGCGCGCCGGCCGTGAACGGAAATTGGAGCCGAACAGATCATCGCTGATACCGTTCTGTTAAATGAACCGTGCGGCTCGTTTGACCTGCGATAATTATTTCAATCTTTTCCGCAGTTTGCACCAACGGGCTAAAGCGGATCTTAAGTTGGCGAGCGTTTGAGTAAAAGTAACCGGCTGCCCGAAGCGTCAGCGCGGAACGGGTCGCGGAGTATCCAAACGAGAATGGAGATTGCTAAGGAGGAATGATAGGTGAGTGAGTCTTAGCTTCAAAACTTGATCCACAATATGTGCTCTTTGCTGCCTCCTTCTCTCTGTCTCTTTCTCTCCCTCTCTATCTATCTTTTCCTGACTCAAGCCAGAGGAGAACAGAGAACAAGAGGCAAAGAACACACCGTAGACATCAGGTTTAAAGAACACAATTGCAATGTCTAAATATCCGAATAAAACACTGACTGATCTATGCAAAACAAAAAAATATGTGCAACAGGATGCAAGAGGGCAACACCGCCGTTGCGCTAGCGATGGTGACTCCTGGATACGATCAGGACCCTGCCAGCGGGGTCGCGGACTATACGACTCATCAGGATCAGGCTCAGTTTGAGGCTGACAAGAGGGCCGTATACAAACATCCGCTTTTCCCTTTATTGGCGTTACTCTTCGAAAGATGCGAGCAGGCGACCCAGAGCTCGGACAACTCCACATCCGAAAGCTTCAACATGGACATACAGGCCTTCGTCCAACACCAAGAAAGAGACCGAAAGCCTTTCCTGATCAATGACCCCGAGATTGACGGTTTGGTAAGACCACCAAAGTTTTTTGGAATTTCTCTAACACGGAATCTGCTTTGGACAATCTGTATCCCGCAGAACTTTGGGCATAATTTATTGTTTGTTGTACTTTGTATAAAATTGCAAATAGAATTCTATTGTAAAATCTAGCGCGAATCATAAATTGTATAAAGTAGACTCCATTCTCTTGCACTCTTATACTTTCTTATCGTAACTTATACTTTCTTATCAGTACAGTTAATTGCTGAACACAATTTAAAGACAATTAAGAGCTCATCAAACTGTCAAAGTTGAGAGTCATTACCGAGATGGACTTGCACAATAATAATATAATTATTAAGCAAGTCAATTTTGGCTTTCTGAGCTCTTAACATCATTTTTATTTATTTATTTTTTAAATAGTAACTTATACGAAGAAATATCCCTTTAGTACAATACATTGTGTCCAAGTTGATAAGATGTACATAAGTCAAGATACGGAAATAAAATTATAATGCGAAAAAGAGAATTGCAAACTTATTGCGTCTAAACCGTTTTGTAACTCTCTGCGCATATATACATACAACCATAGACTTAATATATATAGACTGCATATTGGGCTGAACAGAGGTCATAGAATAGAAAGAAAGACATAGCATGCTTTCGATCACCATTCTATTTTTTTCTAACGACGCGTTTAGAATAAGACAGAATGGTGATTGAAAGCATGCTACATCTTTTTATTCTGTGACGCGTTGAAACTATAGGAAACATTGAAACAACACGCAGTCTATATATACTAAGTTTATGCATACAACGCACGAAAACAAACGGAAGTGCGAGAGAAAAGACGATCAACCAACGAAACGTTGGCGCAGTTGGTATCGCCCTCACTTTTCTCGCGGACGTTGCAGATGATCAAGGCAATACAAGTGCTGCGTATTCATCTTCTGGAGTTAGAGAAAGTACAGGAATTGTGCAAGGACTTCTGCAACAGATACATCACGTGTCTAAAAGGCAAGATGCAGAGCGAGAACTTGCTGCGCAGCGACTACAGCCACCACGGACACGACATGGGTCCGTCGAGTGGGAGCAATGGGAGCAGTCCGTTGCAGGTTAGACGTTTGTCCGATCAGCCGATATAAGCGAGGCTTTCCCGGCCTGTCTATCCCCTTTACCAACGTAGATATCCTTTTAGTCGAAGGGATGCACGCGTCCGCTCGCGCGGCGTCATGCCTGTTAAACGCCTGTTGTGCGTGCATCTCTTGAGATATTACGGAATCCCATCCCTGCTCTCTGACGGCTAGTTGAGACATATATTTGCCAGGTGCTGTCATCTACAGGCAATGATGTTGAGTCGGGAGCTAACGGATTCAGAGTGAGCCGAGGGGACTCCCTGGCGGAGAACGACGGCGCGAGTCAGATCGCGCGCGAAGAGAGTGTCAGTAACGACCAACCGTCGTCGGTCCGATCGTCTTCCGCCGTCCAACGTTCGGCCAAATCCAGTAGCCAAGACCACGACGATCCGCTCTCACCGTCCGCCGTACACGGAAGCACGCCTCTCTCACAAATCGGGGCGCATCCATGCGCTCCGGTTAACGATATGTATCTTGGTCAAGGTAAGCGCAGTCTGAGATCTTCGATCAAAAACCTGAGTATTCTTCCTGCTTACCTCGTCGAGATCGCGATAGATTTTTACTCTTTCTTTGTTACATCTTCTCCCCTTCTCTCTCTCTCTCTCTCTCTCTCTCTCTCTCTCTCTCTCTCTCTCTCTCTCT